CTTCCTCCATTGAAGCCGGTTCATGAGGTAAGTTGACACCGAAGCAACAGATCTGCTCCATCTCTCCCTCGGCTCCCTTCTCATCATCTTCCTCCTCCTGGACCAGCAATGCCTTGGGACCCCCAAGCCTTTCATACTTGAGGAAATCCCTTGAGTGAGCAGCTCTCTTGGGCCTCTCTTTGGCTGCACCCTCCTTAGCTCCACCTCGGACAGCACCACACTTCCCTTGGGTTGTCCGCCTTGATGGAAGTGAAGGGGATGATGTTGGCTGCTGCACCTCCTCCCCGGCTACAGCTACAGGGGCCTCCTCTTGCTGCAAAACTCCTTCCACCTCTGTTGCCTCCCCTTCAGCACCTCCCAAGTCATGTGACACCTCCGTTACCTCTGAAGATGAAGACAACTCGATGGGAATGAGGAATGGGTCATTCGTTCCCACCTCTATTCCGAGCGGAATGGTGACCTTGCTCCTCCCTCGCTCCAACCACTCCTTGAACATGAGCCCCTCCATGAACTTGGCATCTCTGGTGGTGAAGATGGTGTTGGCTTTTGGGTCCCACATGAGCCACCCCTTGCTCCCTTGTGCAAGTCCCAAATGAACAGCCCACACCGCCGCTGCTTGAAGCTTGTCACGCTTCTCCTTAGGGACGTGCACGAGTCCCATGCACCCAAAGACTCGAAGCATATCCACCAGGGGATTCTTGCCTCTCCAATTCTCCATAGGGACCCAACGCTGCCCTCCCACATGAGTCAATACTCGGTTCTTGATGACGGTGGCATGGCGAATAGCGAGGGGCCAGAATCGTAAGGGTAGACCCGAGTCTACCAACATCGTTCTCTCGCCCTCCAAGATGGTCCGGTTCGCTCTCTCTGCCACGCCATTGGATTGAGGGGTGTAGGCCGTGGTGAGCTGCTGCTTGATGCCGTGCCGCTTCAGCCAGCTCCAGAACTCCGCTCCCAAGAACTCCCCACCCCGGTCGCTACGAATCGCCTTCACTCGCTTGCCGCTCTCTCGCTCCACCATGGGCAGCGACTCTTCAATGATGACCCTTGCAGCATCACTCTTCTTTGCAAGTGGAAAGGACCAGGTGAGCCTTGTGTTGTCATCCACCATGGTCATGGAATACAGGGCCCCACCATCTCCCTTCTCCTTCATGGGTCCCACGAGATCCACATGCACGAGCTCCACCGGGTCACTCGACTTCCCCTCCACCGAATGGAAGGGAAACCGTGAAAACTTGCTGGTCAAGCAAGTCTCACAAGATCCCACCTCCTTGGGCTCCCCCTTTATCCTCCGCCCCTGGACTCTTTCCTCCTTAAACAGCTGCTGCAACTGAGGTAGCGCCACGTGGCCAAAGCGACGGTGTGCGGTGAGCCAATCCGTCTCACCCGTGCTAGGAGTTACACTTGGAAGCGCAGCCCCTCCATGCCCAAGGAGCCTACCATCACTGTCATCACCACCCCCTCCATTGTCCACGTGGTTAACACGCCCTCCTCTCACATCTCCAGCAGCCAAGTGCGCAGCCGCCTCCTTCCATGGCAGCACCGGTAGTGCATGTCCTTGCCGCCTCGGAGGTCCCACAATACGCGCCCATCCAGAGTTGCCTTGAAAGCCTTTGTGCCCAACATCTCCATCTTCATCCCTGCCTCACTTAGGGCCTTGGTAGAGAGGAGGTTGGCACACAATCCAGGAACAAGGAGAACACGCTTCAGCCCCACAAGCCTCCCATCCGCACCCATGAACATGGCTCTCCCCTCGCCACGCACGGGTACAACTTGGCCGGTGGCTGAAACGACGGTGGCTGCCTTTGATGGCCTAACTTCATCCAGTAGATCCTCTCGGTTGGTCATGGTCATGAAGGCTCCCGTGTCGATGACCCAATGGGAGGAGCGGTGAAGAGCAACCTTGCTGGCCGGCACAACCATGTCCTTGGAGCATGCCTCTCCTACATGGTAGAACATGCCGCCGTATCCGCCAGCACCTCCATCGCCCTCCTCACTGCCCACGCCTTCTCCCATAGCTCCATGAACACCCTTGGAGCCCTCAAGTGATGGCTGACCAGGCCTTCAACCGTCAGGTAACTTGCGGCACTTAAACCATGGGTGACCTTCCACATGGCAATACCAACATTTGCCGCCACACCGCTTGCCTCCCTTGTTGCCACGCTTCCCTCCCGAATGCTGCTCCCCTCCAGAGCCTTCCTTGGCCTTCCATTTCTTGCTGCCACGCCCCTTGAAGCCCTTCATGCCATAGGCAGAGCCTCCACATTCACCGGCAGCGGCGGTCAGCTCCTTCCTCCGAAACTCCTCTTGAAGAACTTGCGCGCGAATCCACTCAAGGGACCACGAGTCCTTCATGCCATTAAGGTTGACCACCAAGGGCCCCCACGACTCCGGCAGCAGGGAGAGAGCCTTGTAGCACTTGATTTTCTCAGGGTAGTCCACACCAGCAGCAGAGAGCTTCACATAAAGGTCCCGGAGTTGATCGAACGCTCCTTGCACGTCATCACCATCGTTGATCTTTACCGCATGGAGTTGTCGCTCGAGCACCACCACCATAGCTTCGCTGCTGGGGGCATGGACATCCTTTAATATCTTCCATGCCTTAGGACCACACTCAACTTCCTTGATGAGATGCTTGATGTGGTGCAGCTGGTTGGATGAGAGGCATTGGGAGAGAAGGAAGAATCCATCCTTGGACCGGCGATCCCATTCCTTGGTCGCTCCTTCGCTCGCATGCCTCTTCAATTCTCCATCCATCACTTCAAGCAGCCCATAATGGTTGAAGAGGAGCTCCATCCTGAAGCTCCATGATGCCCAATCATCCCCAGAGAACTTCTCCAGGTTGAATGCCTTCACATCATCCTTAGCTGATGTTGAAACGGAAGGCATTGATGCAGATCCGCCTGCAACGCCTCTTCCCGCTTCCCCAGCGCCTCTCACGCCACCACTGCCACTAGGACCAGCTGGAGCAGAACCTTCAGCCTCCATATTAACCCACGAACAGAGTAGAACAGCTCTGATACCACTTGTTATAGTCAAGAGTCCACTTAGAGGTCGCGGATGCCCATGAAACCGCCCAAGCAGAATCTGACGTCTTCAAACCGCCTCTGTTCAAAACGCCGTCACGATCAGCTCCGGAAACATACAAGACTGAAACTTGGACAGCGGTTATCCTTAGGCGTCTGCTTTCCGTCGGTGTATTAGTTGCTATTATCAAAGGTGTGTGCACTACGCAGTGAACGAAAACGTAAGCTCGGCTGAAAAACGTGTAGTTTCATTGATGCAAGGAAGAGGTGAGTACAACATTGCCTAGGGGACTCATAAGGAGTTGGGTCATCCTGGAAACTCAGAGAAGGTTGAGTCATAGGGGAGAAAGGCTAGAGAAGAATGGGAAACCTCCTAGCTAGGTCAGCAAAGCCAACCACACTTGGATGTTCAGAGCTGTACTCAAGACTACCAATAGTGAGTCAAGCCAACATGAGTCAGCTTGTCTTCCCACTTGCACCCTCATGCAAGCTGCTTCCAGGAAGACCAAACTTCTCAAAAGGAGGGTTGTAGAGTCTCACTTGACCAACTGTACTTCTTGTCTCATTCTCTGTCCCTGCACCATTGGCATGACAACAATGAAAGGGTGGCAAGGGAAATGCTGCCAACAGTGCACCATAACTACGGAACAGTGAATTTCGGCAGCTGTCACGCAATGTTCAGATGTTGGATCGTTCTGAAACTTGATGAGCACCTGCACAGCGCGGCAAAGGACTGCCAAACCGAATTTCAGACCAATCAGATCTCGGTAGACGAGTCAGCAGCCGAAATGGTGAACTCGGGTGTTACCAAAAAGGAGTAACACATACTTCCGGGATGCCATAAGTCTTGAAACATAAAATGTTGTCATGCCTTGGTAACTGCTTCAAAAACTCTGAAACTTTGAGGGTTTGAAGAACGCATGTTGAAAAATCTCCCCACAAAATTCCAGAAGCTGAGCAGGCTTGTAGGCCGAATGGGAGTGCGATGACCGTGCCACTGTAATGTGTTGGCACAACAACCAAGACGGTAGTGCCAAAGGTGGGTCTGGTGCGACAAAGCGCGACACGAGCAGGGGGCCGCTAGCTGACCTGACGCAGACAAAGCGACCTGAGGGGACATAGTAGTCAGTGTGTACAGACTCGAGCCACGGGTAAACGTGGCCAGGTGCCGACCCGTCCGGGAGCACGTATAGTGGGTCACGCGTTGACCTCCAGGAGTGAACTGGTCAACCCACTGGTCTTGGAGGTCAGCACCACTCACCAAGTTTGTAGAGAACGTGGGGAGGTGAAGACCTAACAGGGAGCCAGACGGGACCGCCGGACACAGTAGTACTATGGAGGAGTGCGCAAGGTTTAGGGTTTAGACCCCCAGAGGGGTCTGCCAGGGAGATGGGAACCGGCTGACTGAGCGGCGTGAGAGTGGTGCTGTCGCGAAAGAAGGAGCGAGAAGCACCTGAGTCAAGTGTGAAGATGTACAAGACCTCAGCAGGCGCAGTACTAGAGAGAGCAGACGCACCAGCACCTAGAGCAGGGAACGCACTAGCACCTAGAGCAGCACCCTCACTAGTACCTAGGGGAGCAGGCTCTATACCGGGGTCAGGCGGTACGCACAGGTAACAGGCACCTGTCAAAGTACTAAGCATGAATGAATGAACTATGAAAGAGTTTAGTACAAATATGAAACCATAGAATGGGCTGTACCCCATATTGACTACCGCACTACAACCTAAACATATATATCATTTGACACACCCCCATAGGCGAAGTGGGGGAGAACAAGGGGTCACAAGACCAGTCAAGAAACAAAGCAAGCTCAGGGTGGATCACAACGTCACCACACAATATGAGCACAAGCAAAGGGCCACAAGGCCAGTCTGCATGTAGAGATATAAATGCAAAAGCAACAGTGCAGTGATCACTACCTAACAAGTGTAGGCATGCAGGTATACGATATAGATCACAGTACAGGCAAGGTCAAGAAGTGCGAAAGTGAGAAGACACAGGAACAAGGCCAAGTGCAGTACAAAAGTGCTGATGGTCACGAGGCGAAAGTGCCTTGGTGAACACATCAGCAATGTTGGCCTGAGAGGCCACGTAGGCAAGACGACGCTCACCACGCTGCTGCAGATCCCGAGCAAGGAAGTAGCGAAGAGCAATGTGCTTCGTTTTGTGCTCCAACCTCTGTTCGCAACACAAGGCAAGCATTGCCTTGTTATCGACGTACAGAACTGGAGGTGAACGAGGCACCTTGCCCAAGTCGGTCAGCAGGTAGGTGTGCCAACGCAGCTCCTGTGCAGCCATGGGCCCTGCGTAGATCTCAGCCTCACAGCTGGAGCTGAGAACAGAAGAAGAGCGGGTAGACTGCCAAGAGACAGAACATGAGCCAAGGCTAAAGGTGTAGCCCTGAGACGACCGCTGCGTAGCCAGGTCGTCAATCCAAGAAGCGCCTGCGTGAACAGTGAGGACAACTGGACCCCATCCTCTAAGCACGAGCCCCATGCCTGACGTACTACACAAGTAACGCATCACCCTCTTAGCTGCCTTCCAATGCTCTGGAAGGTGTCTCCCGGGCACAACGTAGCGTGCCAGGAGGCTGAGAGGGTAAGCGAGGTCAGGGCGAGTGCAGGTCATCAGGTACATGCGGCAGCCCACAAGCTCTGGATACGGGCCACTCGGCTCTACGGACTCATCTGAAGGCAGAGCTGAGAGCGAGTGACTAGTAGGCAGAGGAGTGGACTGTGGCGAGGAGAACTGGAAGTCAAAGCGCTGAAGGACCTGCTGCACCATGTGTGATTGGGTCAGGGTGATGGTGCGGCGTGCTCTGTCCCGAGTGATATGCAAGCCAAGATAGCTGCGCAGTTCACCCAGGTCTGTGCACGTGCGTCTCTTCTGCAGCTCCGACTTCACTAGAGTCAGTGCCTCAGTGTCAGCAGTAGCAAAGACCAAGTCGACGACGTACACGAGGATGTAGAGCGGCGGCAGTGAAGTGTCGGTGCGTAGAAACAACGACGGGTCAGCAGTAGAAGGAGCAAACCCAAGAGCCGCAAGTGTATTCCTCAGTGTGTTGTGCCACTCACAAGGTGCCTGGCGGAGACCATAGACTGTCCGCCGGAGGCTCCACTGGGTACCAGGAGGAAACGACCCAGTGAAGCCAGGTGGGCGGCGCAGCCAGATCTCCTCGTGCAGGCTGCCCTGTAGAAAGACTGTGCTAAATTCAAGAGAATGAAGCTCGTAGTCACGCTGAGCAGCAACGTGCAGCAGTACTCGAAGAGTGGTCATCTTCGGGGTGGGAGAGAAGGTCTGAAAGTAGTCAATTCCCTGCCGCTGACTAAAGCCACGAGCAACGTAACGTGCCTTGAACCCGGCGACCGCTTCACCCTGAAGATCCACATGCCATCAACAATGTTCGCCCCAGGTGGGGGAACCTCGTCGACGTAGGTGCCTGTGGACTTCCAGGAAGCCATCTCTGCGTCCATGGCTGCCTGCCACTGAGAGGAGTAGGGACCCTCAACCGCCTCTGCGTAAGAGCGCGGAGTCGGAATGTCTAGTGCATCCGGGTCTCCCTCAGGGGCAAGTAGCATGGACACAAGATGAGGTGAAGCAGAAGCCAGACACTGGAACTCCTCCTGCCTGTCCTCAAGGACGTCCGTGCCAAGGGCACACTCACCCCCGACGCACAGAGGACAGACAGACTCAGACTCAGCAACAAGACTAGCATCGTAGTCTAGACGACAGCGAGCAGCAAAGTCGACAAGCTTGGCAACCAGCGCAGACGCAACAGCAGACTCAAAGGAAGGGTCAGTGACAAGAGTAGCCAAGAGACGCATGGCAGTGGGACTGGCAGCACGAAGGGAGTCCGACTCCGGGTCAGCAAGGACAGGAAGAGAGGACTCAGGAGGAGACGGCAGAGGGGCACGCTGAGGAGCAGTGGAAGGACGCAGAGTCATCCGGTGCGTGCCGGGGACAGGAGGAGAATGCTGACGCGAGCTACGACCACCAGTGCGAGCAGCACGGACAAGACCTCCTGTCGGACGAGACGCAGGCTCACGACGCTCGACAAGACCTCCTGTCGGACCAGCGTAAGGAGACGGAGCAGGCACGGGGGAGGTAGGCTGTAGCTGAGACGGCGACAGGACAGGTGGTGGACACTCTAAGGAAGGGGGTGGACTAAGAGAGGGCGGGATACCAAGAACCTGCTGAAGGAGTGGAAAGAAGTACGGTCGTAGCCGCTCAGCACCTCCAGAACCAGCAGGAGCACCTCCTGTAGTACCTCCAGCAGCTCCAGCACCAGCAGCACCAACTGCAGCACCACCAGCTCCATCGGCAGCTCTAGCAGCACCCCCAGCAGCTCCAGCACCAGCAGCACCAACAGCAGCACCACCTGCAGCTCCACCAGCTCCACCAGCAGCTCCAGTAGCACCTCCAGCAGCTCCAGCACCAGCAGCACCAATAGCAGCTCCACCAGCTCCACCGGCAGCTCCAGCAGCTCTAGCACCAGCAGCACCCTCAGAACCAGAACCAGCAGCGCCAGGGTCTCCAGCTACAGGACCTCCAGCAACCGCACCCCAAGGTCGAGAACCTCCAGCTCCAGCGTCTACAGTAGGACCTCCTCCAACACTACCGGCCCCGGCAGCTCGAGTACCTCCAGTACGAGCACCTCCAGTGCCTGTGGTGTCAGCAGCACGAGTGTCGCCAGCTCTAGCAGCAGTACCGCCAACTCCAGGACACCGCCGTAGTCAGTGGCGAACCGCAAACCACTCCCGCAGCTCCGCTGGCGTAAGGGGCCGGCGAGAAATTGGTCCAGCTCCCTCCAGGACCTCACTCACCAGCACAGCACCCCTAGGCTCCGCACCCTCCAGCACCTCACGGACCGGCACAGCACCCCCAGGCTCCGCACCCTCCAGTACCTCACGCACCGGCACAGCACCCCCACGCTCCACACCCTCCAGCACCTCACGCAGCGGCTCAGCACCCCCAGACGCAGCACCTCGAGCAGTACCACCCTCAGCAATACCTGAGTCACTAGTGACCTCGACAGGCTCAGCTAAGGGAGGCGGGTCTACCTGAGACACACCTGAAGGAGCAGGACCCTGGGGGGGAAGGGGGTCTACCGGAGGGGGACCTGGAGTGAGGAAGAGCCGCGGGGGAGGGAGAGGGGTAGTGCGGTAGGGAAAGAGGCGGTTGAAAGGGACTGACTCGTCAAAGGTAACGTCCTGAGAAGACAGGACCCTGCGCGAGGCGGGGTGGTAAAATTGCCAGCGAGGCGCGTCAGTCGGAAAGCCAAGGAAGACACAGGGAAGGGTGCGGGAGGAGAGCTTGTCCGCGGACGTATCGCAAACAAGAGCACGGGCACCCCAGACCCGGAACACCGACGCATCACCAACCTCCCCCGTCCACCTCAGTGTGGGCGAGGTCTTCGGAACGGAGACACGGGGCCAGAGGTTGAGCTGCTGTGCGGCGTACCGGACCGCAAACGGCCACAGAAAATGGGGAGCTGCCGCATGGATCAAGGAGGTACGAGCGATCTCCATGACCAGGCCAATGCGGCGCTCAGCAACCCCATTTTGTTGCGGTGAGCCTGGAAGCGTGTAAGACTGGGTGATGCCCTCCTCCTGACAGAAGTCGCGTAAGAGGTCGGAGGCGAACTCTCCGCCCCTGTCAGAGTGCAGACACAGAACAGGGAGGTCGGTCTGAAACCTCCTGCGTAGCTGGAGACGAACCGCTCGGATCCAAGGGATCAGGACAGCAGGGACCTCACCCTTGGTGCGCAAGGGGAAGACCGTGGTGTAACGCGAGTAGTCGTCAACTACCAGCAGGAAGTACCGCTCCACCCCGTCCGCTGACGCGGGCGGGGCCCCACACGTCCATGTAGAGAGTCTGCAGCGGAGCCTCTGTCGGAGGAAACGAAGAGGAGTGAGGAGCGGCGAGCTGCCGCCCCTCGACGCAAGGAAGGCAGGCCGGGGCAGGCGAAGCAGGGAGGCGAGGTAGGGTCCACGGAAGAACAGACACAAGGACGAGACGGTGCATGTCACGAGGACGGGGCAAGGAGGGGTGGCCCAGACGGTGGTGCCAGAGAACAGTCTGGTGCGACAGGGAGCGACACGAGCAAGGGGAGTCTACCTGACCTGACGCAGACGCTTGACCGACAGCAGCGACCTGGGGAGACACAGTATTCAGTGTGTAAGGGCTCGACCCTGGAGCACGCGTGAACGTGGCCAGGTGTCGCCCAGTCATGGAGCACGTACAGATCGCCACACGCTGTCCTCCAGGGGTGAAGGTATCAACCCAGTGGTCCTGAAGGACAGCGTTGCTCACCAAGTTCGTAGAGAACGAGGGGAGGTGGAGACCTGACAGTGAACCAGACGGGACCGCTGGGCAAGGAATCACAGTGGTAGACCGTGCAAGGAATGGACCCCCCGAGGGGTCAGCCAGGCAGACTGCAACTGGTGCAGGGAGCGGTGTGAGGGCTGTGCTGTTGCGGAAGAAACACCTGGAAGCACCTGAGTTAAGAGTGAAGGTGTGCAAGGCAGTAGAAGGCGCAGTACCTGACAGCGCAGACTCACCCGCACCTAAGGCAGTGGACGCGGTACCTGAGAGCGCAGACTCGCAAGCACCAAGAGCCGCTGACTCTATACCTGGATCAGGCGGCAAACACAGGTAGCAGTCACCCTCAGCACTAACAGACAATGCATACATGGCAGCAAGAATAGCATCATAGTCAAGAGCAAAGATGTCTACACCCTTCTTAAGCAGATCAAACCAGCGAGGGGTCCCAACCTCTGCCCCCATCTCCTCACGCCAGGCGACGTCAAGGCGGGAGAAGCAACGCTGCTGGGGGTGGGGCTTGCCGCATGTCTGACCAGCACGCTCACCGGTGCGAATGACATACGTACAGCGAGAACCCCCAGACGTACCCCTCTGAGCCAACCACTCACGAAGCTGCTGAGGCGTAAGGGACCGCTGCTGCTGCTGTCTCTGACCAGCGCCTCCACCACGACCGCCACCGCCTCCACTGCCTCCACCACCGCCGCTACCGCCACCACCGCCGCTACCGCCACCACCGCCACTCCCACCGCCGCCACCACCACCACCTCCTCCACTGCCGCTACCACTCCCACCAGCACTCCCGCCGCCACTGCCTCCACTTCCACCGCCACCTCCACCACCTCCACCTCCTCCTCCGCCGCCACTGCCACCACCGCCCTTGCCCCCATTGCCCTTGCCGGTGCGGTGCCGCCCAGCAGAAGTGGAGGCAGCACCAACCGAGTCGGCTCCGAGGAAGTCTACAGCGGCAGCTGTGGCGTAGGAGGGGGCAAGAGGGGAAGAAGCGCACCTCTCAACGATGGGGGTGCGAGGAGCACCACGAGAAGCAGCCACACTAACAATGCTGCTCTCAACGGCTAAGAGGTGCTCCTCTAGGAAGTCTATGGTGAGGTCGGAGGGACAGCGCACTAGGAAGTGATCCCTGACTGAGAGAAGGGTGTCAGGGAGGCGGGTCACTATAAAGTGGAGCGTCCAGTACATCGGAGGGGGGTGCTGGGCAACAAACTCATTGCGGAGTGCGGCACGGACACGAGCGTCACTAGAGCGAAGGTCAGTGATGATGTCGGCTACGGTGGCAAAGCTCGACAGCTCGGGGAACAGGTACGGCAGCATGAGGCGGCTGAGCGCAGCAGTGGCAGGGGAGGAGTAGTGAGCAACTACAGCGTCGTACAGGGCGTTAGCGGTTTTGTGCTCGCCAAAGTGCTTAAGTTCCGCCAGCGGTAGGTGGTTGCGAATAGCAAGGCGGGCAGCTGTGTCAGCAGGAACAGCTAGAGCACCGGAGGTGTGATCAACGAGGGAGATCTCGTCTTTGCTGGTGCTAATCAGGTAGAGTTGCAAGTCATCGAGCCAGGCGTCGAACTCTACAGGGCGGCCCTCAGTGTCGAAGGACAGAACATGAAGAGTGGCCATGGCGCTAGGCGGTGACGAGCAGCAGGATGCGCGACGCAGGAGGGCGCGGGCGGCGCAGTAGGGCGCGAGCGGCGCAGTAAGGCGCGGGCTGCGTAGTAGGGCGCGGGCAGCTCAGCAGGGCGCAGGTGGCTGGGCGGCGCAACAGGGCGCGAGCAGCGCATCAGGGCGCGGGTGGCTAAGCAGGGCGTGGGCAGCGCAACAGAGAGCGGGCGGAGCAGCAGGGCGCGGCCGGCGCAGCAAGGCGCGGGCGGCGCAGCAGAGAGCGGGCGGCGCAGCAGGGCGCGGGCAGCGCAGCAGGGCGCGGCGGGCTCAGCAGGGCGCAGGCGGCGCAGCAGGCGCGGTGGGCGCAGCAGGGCGCGGGCGGCGCAGTAGGGCGCGGCCGGCGCAGAAGGGCGCGGCCAGCGCAGCAAGGCGCGGGCAGCGCATTAGGGCGCAGGCGACGCGGCGAAAGGGCGTGCGATGCGGCAGGCGGGCGACGCAGCAGCAGGGCGCGACGCAGCAGTAGGGCCCGCTAGGGGCTATAGTAGGGCGTGACTCGGCGGAAAAAAAAATGGACGGTGGGCCCACACAGCTAGGTCCTAGGGACCTCTTGCTCTGAAACCATGTCAAAGTACTCAGCAGGAATGAATGAACTATGAAAGAGTTTGGTACAAATATGAAACCCTAGAATGGGCTATACCCCATATTGACTACCCCACTACAGCCTAAACATATATATAATTTGACAGCACCGGCAGCACTAGTAAGCAATGCATACATGGAATTGAGAATAGCATCATAGTCAAGAGAAAAAATATCTACCCTCTGCTTAAGCAGCTCCAGCCAGGAGGGGAGCTGAGCCTGGTCGCCAAACTCGGTATGCCAGGCGTCACTCAGCCGTGCGAAGCAGCGGGACTACGTGTGACTAAGTGTGCCGCAAGCTTGACCAGCCCGATCACCTGCCCGAATGACGTACTGGCAGCGAACGGTACTGGCGAATCACCTTGCCTGGCAGGCAGACAGGCAGGCAGGCAGGCAGGCAGGCAGGTGCTCACCAGTGGCGGGAAGGGCCGGCGCTTGGCGGGCGGCGGCAAGGTATGCGCACGACGGCGGGGCCGCAGCAGCGGCTGCAGAGTAGGGCCGCGGCAGCTGCAGGGTAGGGCCGCGTCAGCGGCAGGACGGGGCCGCGTCAGCGGCAGGACGGGGCAGCGTCAGCAGCAGGACGGGGCCGCGTCAGCGGCAGGGCTGGTGGGGCTGCGTCGGTGTCTGGGCAGGGCCGCGTCAGAGGCAGGGCGCGGCCGCGTTGTCTGCGGGGCGCGGCGCGGCCGCGTCGGCTGCGGGGCGCGGCACGGCCGTGTCGGCTGCAAGGCGCAGCCGCGTCAGAGGCAGGGCGCGGCCGCATCGACTGCATGGCGCCGCCGCGTCGGCTGCAGGGCGCAGCCGCGTCAGAGGTAGGGCGCGGCCGCGTCGACTGCAGGGCGCGGCCGCGTCGACTGCAGGGCGCGGCCGCGTTGGGGGCAGGGCGCGGCCGTGTCAGTGGTAAGGCAGGGCCGCGTCGGCTGCAGGGCGCGGCCGCGTCGAAGGCAGGGCGCGACCGCGTCAGAGGCCGGGCGCGACAGCGTCAGAGGCTGGGCAGGGCCGCGTTCTGGCCTGACGGGCCTGCAGGGGCGGCTCGCGGGCCTGACGGGCCTGCAGGGGCGGCACGCTGGCCTAGGGCAGTAGGAGGCAGCGCGAGGGCTGAAGGACAGCGCGCGCAGCGCAGCACGTCACAAGTCAGGGCAGGAAAATACGTGGGGTAGTGCGGTAACTGCAACGGTAGGTGGGCCTGAAAAAAAAACGGTCCTACGGACCTAGTGCTCTGATACCATGTCAAAGTCAAGCAGCAGGAATGAATGCATTGAGCAGCATGAGGAGTAAAAGTGGGAAACCCTAAAGTGTTGTACCCCTTATGAGCTACCCCACTACAGCCTACACAGACTATAGCATATAAGTTTGACAATCGCCCCCGGCGATTTTTCGAGGCAATTTTTTTCGCGACCGCTGCTTAGCCGAGAGTTGTCGAATGAGAACGACTCTGATTACCAAGTGTCACAGGATCAAATTCTTAATCGAAGCTTGTCACTAAAACCAAATACAAGGCGTTTTTATACTCGGAAAATACAAGGATAAATGAGATAAAACGAACCTTCGGGAACACGCCCTTCCCGATACTACAATCACAAGTGCGCACAAGCACGCAAGGCTATTGGCACTGTCAGAATCCCAACCACTAGACCATTGGGATAAAAGGGCTTGTTTCAGTAGCGGGTCAGTGCGCCCATAACCCCCCGGACTAACGCGCATATAATCCTCTCCAGGATCAATCGGGCATCCACAGTGCAGATCTACTGACACCCCCCCATAATGGGAGGCCCAGGACTAAGCACAGCGGCAACGGCCTACATGTGCATACACCGGGAATCGAACCCGAGACCGCTCTGATACCATGTCAGAATCCCAACCACTAGACCATTGGGATAAAAGGGCTTGTTTCAGTAGCGGGTCAGTGCGCCCATAACCCCCTGGGCGAACGCACCTGTAATCCACAGTGCGAATCTACTGACAGGCACTTGGAATAACACTCAGATTACACCGTATACACCACTGTCAGTGCTGTCGGTGCCGTATAATGGATATGTCGGTGGGAAAAGTAGGAAATAAAAGAAATAAATAGAACGCTCTAGAAAATAGAATAGTAGGCCGGTTGAGATGAAGTAAAGACCAAAATAAAGAGGAGAATAAGATAAAGGAAAATATAATAATGAGAAAATATTATTACGGAGACGTCCTCTCGCATTGAGTGCTCCGGTAGCCACCGTATGCACCGTTCCTGTTGCCCGTGTGTCTGCGGCTTCACCCGACACCTCCGATCTCCACTCCTCTCACAGTTCCTCCTCCTCCTCACTTGCCCTCTATGACTGCCTCTAGCTTTGCTTGTATTTATGAACCTACTGCTATGCTTGCTTGCTGTGCTAATTATACCCCACTTTGACTATGGGGGTGTGTCAGAATGTGATGTTTGTCTAGCCTGCAGTGGGGTGCTCTATAGCGAGTACAGCCCGAATTAGGGTTTGCTATATGTACTCAGTTGCCTGCTAGTGAAATCCCCCTTTCTTGTTTCTTACGTTTGCCTAGTCTTTCGACAACTTGGCGCAATAGCTTGGCGGGCAATATCCGATGATAAGGACACATCAAATTGTCGCATTAAGCTTATCTGGAACGCATCGTGTATGCGCCAATCATCGGGCAATAGCGGTTTTTGTCGAAATAGCAGCTAGAAACTTAGAACACGAACGAGGGTTTGCACTAGCAAGTAGTTGAGTACATAGAGGAAACCCTGAATTGGGTTGTACTCGCTATAGAGTACCCCACTTCAGGCTAGACAAATACAACATTCTGACACACCCCCATAGCCAAAGTGGGGTGTAATCAGCGCAATAAGCAGGGAGAGCAGGTTCACAAGTACAAGCAAAGCTAGAGGCATTCACAAAGGGCATGTGAGGAGGAGGAGGCTGGACTGTGAGAGGAGAGGAGATTGGAGGCGACGGGTGAAGCCGCAGACACACGGGCAACAGGAGCGCGCACACGATGGCTACCAGAGATTATAGCCTCCGGACTACAGGAGTAACTGGCTCCGCGGCTAAGACGAGCGGCAGGAGCAACGGACCCACGGGCGACTTGTGTAGCAGGCTCGCTGGGCTACCGGAGATTGTAGCCTCCGGACTACTGTCGCTGCAGACGACAAGACGGCTGCCTCCACTCAACCTCCCCCAGCTGTCCTACACCCCTTACACACACCCCCTGCTGTTCCCCTAGCACTGCTCACACTCCACCCCCCTAGTACCCCTCCGACGGCTCCCAAACATCCACCCCCTCAGCGGCAGCTGCAGCAATGGGAGACGGAGGAGGAGGAGGAGCAGGGGAGGCCTTACACACCCGTCACCCCCATACCTGCCACCCCAAACCCTAACACAGGCAGCACGGGGCAGGAGCGCGGGTAGCAGGCAAGCGGAAGCGGGGCGGCACGCTGGTTCAGGGGCGCCTCGATGGGCGACGGGAGGGGGCGACACGCTGGCCCCCGGGGTGCCACGATGTGCGACGGGAAAGGGGCGACGCGCGGGCCCCCGGGGCGCAACGACGGGTGACGGTAGGGGTGGCGACGCGCGGCCCCCCGGGGCGCCTCGACGCGCGACGGGAGGGGCCGACGCGCAGGCCCCCGGGGCGCCATGACGGGCGACGGGAGGGGGCGACGCGCAGCCCCCCCGGGGCGCCACGACGGGCGACGCGCGGGCCCCTAGGGCACCGCGGTGGGCGACGGGAGGGGGGGCGATGCGCAGGTCGACGGGGCAGGAAACCGCCGCGCGCCTCAGGGCGCCGGCGGACAGGGCGCGCGGCGGGCAGAAAACCGCCATGCGCCCCGAGCGCGTGGTGGGAAGAAAATAACGTCGCGCGCCACAAGGCGCGTGATAGACAGGACATCAGCGGAAGCTAACGGTGAGCCCACAGGTCAGGAGCGTAACCGCTCTGATAGCATGTCAAAATAGCAGCTAGAAAGTTAGAACAGGAAATAGGGTTTGCATTAGCAAGCAGTTGAGTACATATAGGAAACCCTAAATTGGGCTATACTCTCTATAGAGTACCCCATTGCAGGCTAGAAAAATACAACATTCTGACAGTTTTGCTGTGACAGATGTCAGGATCTTGATGATGCAGAAAAGCCCCACAAATCGTGGACGATGTTTTGCTGGTTGTGGCAGCCAAAGGTTCTTTGTATCGAAAAGTACCAACTAGCGACAATAACGGGTACATTCTTGTGATGCTTATCGGCATTGTTAGCCTTGCAGATGGATTCTGTTGCTTTGTCCAAGGTAGCTTGCAGTGCAGTGACAAATTGTTACGAGCGTGGTACTGGATTGTCCGGTGTGGTCGACTAGGGTACAAGAGGGTCTATCGCGAGGTAGAACGGTTACTGGTTGGAAGCA